AGTTTTGTTCACGATATCAGGAGACAAATTCAATAAAAAACAAAGAAGGAAAAGGCCGAAAAAGGTGCACCACATCTATTGATGACAGAAGAATAAAAATACTATGTCTCTGAGATAGAAAAATGTCATCAGCGGCCAACAGAAGTGATCTGAATGATGCTGGTGTTTCTGTCAGTTCAAGAACAATCAGGGGAAGATTAACAGATGTTGGATTGAGAGGTAGAATTCCACGAAACAAGCCTTATCTTAATTTTCCGTAACGAAAAAAAAAAAAAAAAAAAAAAAAAAAAAAAAAAAAAAAAAAAAAAGACTACAGTGGGCAAAGGAACACATTAATTGGACAGATGATCAATGGTCACAAGTTATGTGGAGTGATGAAACTAAGATATCGTTATTCGGTAGTGATGGGAGAAAATATGTAAGACGTAGAATAGGAGAAGAGCTACATCCTGTCTGCATTCAAGCAACTGTGAAGAATCTAGTTAGTGTTATGATTCGGTCATGCATGTCAGCAGATGGTATTGGTTGCCTTCCTGTCATCGATGGGACATTGAATGCCAGAAAATACATTGACATTATTCTAGAACCAAACATTCTACCTTCCATCAGAGATCTCTTTTCCAACAATGCTTCGTTTATTTTTCAGCAGGATTCTGCCCCTTGCCACACGGCCAAAATATCGAAAGAAGGTTTCGTACAAAGAGCATTAAATTGTTGTCATGGCCAGGAAACAGTCCTGACCACAATCCTATCGAAACTTTGTGGCACCGTTTGAAAACTCTTGTCCGAATGAGGCGCCCATCAAATAAAAGGGAAATAATTGAGGCTATAATTGTTTCCTGGCATCATGTAATAACGAAAGAAGAGCTTAAAACTCTTGTTCAGCTCAATGAAACGTCGATGTGAAGCTGTAATCAAAAATAAAGGTGTACCCTACTAATGTACTGATAACTCACTGGAATCATCACTATCTAGTGTATATCGATCTAATCTAGTGTATATCGATAACTATTATCGAACTTTTTTGTATTGCAAATAATGCAATTTTGTGTTTTAAATTGAATTCAGTAATAAATTCTCTTTAAAATGATATATACAAGTTTGCATTTTGTGAAACGTAACGTTTTCTATAAGCATACAAAGTTGAAAAACATAAAAATTTCCAAAAGTGTCCACAATTTTGGCCACCATTGTAGTTCCGCACATCCCTTTTTGATGCAATCGGCCGCACCAAACGTATGTATTTAAGTTTGAGTTCAAAAGGAATAGAAATTTTGATTATCTTATCTGAGGAAGATGTATATACCCACATTCTTAACCTGACTTAGTGAGCTCTTTTTTTTTTTTACCTTATATGTTGGTAAATATATACAGCCCTTTTTGGTTGCAATCGGCTGCACCAAAAGTATATAAATATATACACAGATCACTATCTAACCCAGCTCGGCGAGCTCAGGTTTTTAATACTTTTATGTAGGTAAATTCCGCATTTTTTGCTTCAAAAGTAATTGAATTATGTTGTTGTTATCTTCCGGTTAAGGCTTTTATGCCTTTAATTAATCTGCATGCCATAGTTGTAGAATTATAAAAAAATTAAAAGTTGTGAAAGTGGTCCCGAGCTTAACAAGACCGCCATTTGCTTACATTTGAAACTTTTAGTCGCACAGTGAAGTTGGCATGTTGATGCACCAATTTCAGTGTATTTTTGCACAATGGGACGAAAAGTTAACTTCTAATTATTTGTACCGAAAATTTTGTTTTCGTGCCCGCTGGAGGAATTTCTTTTGATTTATAAAATGTAATTTTAATTGTAAAAAATAATTAACAGGTTCAACTGTATTTGCTGTTTTAGGGTTTTCTGGATTTTACAATTTCTAATGAAAATAATTTTAGTTTTTACGTATTTTCGCCTTACCGCGAAGTGAAAACTGAGCCGTCGAGTTACACAAGTAAAATATGGAGAAAAATTTCAAAGAAGTTTATTTACTGTTTTTAAATAACTGAAGCTGCCAAACAGGTACGATAGTGAAAGATAAGTTAAAGATTTCATATGATGTCGATTAGCAAGACTCTGAAAAATGACTGTTGCCAGTTGGCTGAGAAGTAAAGCTTCTTGTAATGGCAACATTTGCAAGCTACTGTAACTATGGTAGGTGGTATGTTGGTACTATGTTAACATAACGATCGTAACGGAGGAAAAATTGAAAATTATTAATGCTTATAATGCTAAAACACAAATATAAAAAAATCTGATATGTACACCACATGACTTCCTTGTATTGAAATATTAAATTATACGCATTTTTCTTGCATTTCATTTAAACTTATTGGATTGAATTAAATCTACTTCGCCGACAGCGCATAAACCACAATAGAATAAATGCATTGTTTTAAAATTCACTCTAGTATTTGTTTACCATAGCGACACTCTGGCGCTAGATTCACTTAACAGTATTAATAATTATATAATACTTAACTTATATAATAACTATATATAACGGAAATTAAGTTAACTGTTATATGATCCAATAATTATATAACAGTTAACGTATATACTTCGTTCATATTATAACTCATAATGCACAAAATTTATATCATTTAAAGAATAGAATTATCGAATCGTTGCCACATGTTCTATTCAAATACTATAATAAAGCTAGAACGACGTATAAAAGAAATTAAGCAAACAAAACAAAGAAGAAACAGTTTTTCACAAACGATTGAGTATTTCTCATTCAATTAATTCAGTTCTCACTTCGCGAGAAGGCAAATATACATAAAAACTCAAAATATCTATATTAAAAATTACGAAGTAATTCTCAAACACTTATTTCCTCGAAAAAATTCCAGAAAGAATTAAGCATGATTTAATCGGCAATAATAAATGAATGCGTTATCTTTGTTGTTGGGAAGCTAAGTTTCTCTAGATTGGCAACAAATCCACTAGTCTCCTGTTTCAAATGTGAACATCAATGGCCGCCATTAAAAACAGGCTTAGCGGCAATTAAACAACTTTAAACTTGCTGATAATTCTAAAAATATTGCACACAGATTTACTAAAGGCATAAAATCCTTAACCGGAGGATAAGAACAACATAATTCAATCATTTTTAAAGCAAAAAATATGCAATTTACAAACTTATAAGAGTAAAGAAACTGAGATCACTGAGCCGGGTAACAGAGTGAATATATATATATAAATATATATATATAAATATATTTATATACGTTTGGTGCGGCCGATTGCAACCAAAATACGAGGTGCACATCTACATGTTATAGCAGTCCTGTATACAAAATTTCAAATTCTAGCTGTTCTGAGGCTGTTCGTTTTGAGTTATGCGAGATACGTACGTACGCACGTACGTACATACGCTCGTACAGACGCCACGAAAAATTCTCTTCAGAATTCATTTTTAAAGCAGTTTTTATAATTTTTTGGGAGGAAAAGAGTATCTTATTCTTTCCTTACGTACAGATATCACGCAAAAACATCGTTAAATTGCATTAAATGGATATTTTCGTTGAAATATGCTGCCTGAAACTTTTCGAGATTACAACACTTCCTTTTTACTTCGTGCAACGGAGTTAAAAGCAAACTTACTTTCAGTTAGCCTAAACAAGAGTACAAGTTTTTCGAATAAACTGTAGTTCAATCGCATGTGATAAAGGCAATTCCTATTTAGAATGCTTAAATATAATATTATTTATTGCATAATTACTAATAGGAACGTTTTTAACTCTGTTTAAGGAGCGTTTTTAACTCTGTTTATTGCATTAATTTATGTTCATATTTCCTAATTACATGTTTGCTTTTCATTACATTAATTAATGATTAATTTCACAATAGCAATTACTGTCCATTGCACTTTTTATTCTATTGATAACATTAAATTATGGACATTTTTAGCCTAAAGGGCGTTAGCCCAGAAGGGCTATTATTTTTCGTTTTGGCATTTTGCGTTGATTCACTATAAACAGCGTTTCAGTTTTCAAATGGTTGCCACCCAATATTATCGCCCTGTATTATATTGAAAGAAATTAAATAATGAAGAAACTGCATGAATGTATGTATGTCTCTCGCACTGTGAAAAAAAGACGGTACCTAGAGCCCTCCAATTTAGAATAACGTAATCCTCCACTCGAATATGGGCAGCTGGAAGCCAAAATTTGAAATTTGTTTTATTATCTATTTAATATTTTGTAAAATTTTAACGAATTTTTGATTAACAAACTCAAGATTTGAAAACGAGCAAAGGCAACACTGTACAAACCAAAAAAATTAAAAAAATTATATCCAACTGTGTATCGGAAATTCTAAAGATATGCTCTTTTAAATTATTTTGCAGTATTGCTCTTCAATTGAATTTTACGATTTAAATGCGAAGAACATGATATTTAATAAATAATTTAACATACAAAACATTAAAAAAAAACGCCCCTAATGTAAAATCTGAAAACTTTCGGTTTTTTTTTTTTTTTTTTTTTTTTTTTTTTCCATTTTTGAAGGATTTTTTCATGTCGTAGCGAAGTATTTTGAAAGTCAAATTTATCTTGTTTTCAGTTTTCATTTTATGTCCTCGAATGCAGAATGTATCTTTACTGATACCGAAATTGAGGAATAAATTATTGAAATAAACTTAAAATTCATCTAAATACCTTAGAATTTATGAATCAACTTATATAAATAGGCGTGCGTTATAAAGTATTTCTCCCACTTCCCTAGCGTGCCTTCGTGGTGTAGTGGTTCTGCACACTGAGCCGGTATTTCAGAGGTCCGTGGTTTGATTCCCGGCGAAGGCGGTTGCATATTTTTCATCTTTTCTGCTTCCAATTAACCTAATGACTCTGCAACGTAAATGCCTTTTAAAATTGATATAACATCATATTTATATATCACTCTATTATATTTTATATAATCCTCATTCATTTTTATGCTTTAGATCGATATGTTCACTAACATGCATATGTGTAATTTCGTTACTGTTTAAAACTTACAGTGGGTCCTTTGGGAATTTGCAATGCAGCAGACTGCATGAGAGCTGCAAAGATCAAGTGCTTGGACTGCAGAAATGTTGCCTATTGCACCAAACGCTGTATGAGGCTGGATGCGAAAGATCACAGACGAGTTTGTTTCAGTAAGTGCTTAACGAATCTCTAACTAATCTTTAGCAATAGCTTAGATTGTAAGAGTGCAATCTAAACTCTTAGTAAAATAAGTGGTATCTCAACTAGAATACTAAATTACTGTTTTTTTGATGTGAAACGACGTTATACAGGGTTAGCATAAATAATTCATTCGTTTTGAAAAAGCTATATTTTCAAAGGTACTTCACTTACACACATGAAAGATATATGAAAAGAACCACAAACTCACCAAGTTTATACACCCCTACAAATATCTCCCCTTGGTGACCCGAACAGGACCGGATTTAAGCTTTTTGAGATATAGAGCCCTTTATGAGGGGTATGAGTCAATTTTTTTATGTGGAACTATGGTACAATTTAGCTCCAGCTTGTGCAGCTTATATGTAAATCCAGCACTTTGAGATGAGAAAATACTAGATTCATTGTAATACTTCCAATTATTCTCAGCTCGATAAAAGTATTGTACACTTGAATTCTCTTAATCCACAGGTTTTAGTAAATTATTAAAGTATTCGAGGCTAATTGTAGTTTGAGCCATTTTCTCGATCTGACGAGCGATAATGTGCCATGAACATTGATCCGAATATCAGTGTGTGATAAGTTTCGCGAAAGTAAAATGTAGGCGATTAAATAAACTTAAAAAAAAAAAAAAAAAAAAAAAGCAGTATGATACTTTTTATTCAAATGATAGCAGCATTTATATGGTCGTACAATTATAACTGCGAAACAAATGCAAAATAAAACGTAAACAAAAACATGCGTTCGTATGCACAGTTTCAAAGATTCCGCGTCACAACAGCAATGGAAGCTCATTGGTCTATTTTTTAATCTTCTCCTCCAGTGGCGATACTGATGTGCACTTGTGAATTATGCTTTCGGTTTTTGAAGCGAACCAGAGGTTATTTTATACTTTGCCTGTTTGTCATTTGGCATCCTATAGAATGCTTCAGGCAGTGTGTAAAGTATTTGATCGTTTCATACATTGCCGGCCAGTTTCCGGCATTCTATAAAATGCTGGACTCAGACTTTGCTGGTAACATATACATAAGCTTGCATATTTTATTAGTAAGTAGTTCTCTCCTTCCCTACTGCGTACTTTCACGGTGTAATTGAAAGTTCGTTCGAGTTCCTTCGACTATCAGGTGGAAGGTCTGAAGGTTAAAAGTGAATCCAGGCGAGGTTTTCGTTGTTTTTTCATGTTTTCTGCTTCTATAAGTGCATCCGCGAAAGTAAGTGGGATCCCTTTACTTTTACATCAGCAAACCTAAATGAAAACAAAAGAAAACTAATGTGTAAACCACATGACTTTCCTGCACAGCTTATTATACACATTTTTTTTTGTGGCAAAATCAAAACTTATTTATTGAATGAGAAATATATGTCTTATGAAATTCGAGTAAATAAGTTTAAACGAAATGGAGCAAAAAATTTACATAATTTAATAGGCCGTAAAGAAAGACATCGTATCAACATCAGATTTATTTTTATACTGATGCTGAGGATTTTGAATGAGGCAATGAAAGTTTAATAAAGAATATTAAAATTTAAATGTATTAAACATTCTTCATAAAAGTATTTTAAAATATTAAGCTTATTCTGATTAATGAATAGAAAGCAGTTCTCTTCAAATTCTTGTCATTCGTTTCAAGACTCAAGAGAATTCATTATTCAATCACGTAATGATATGTCGTTAACTCAATTCATTTGGAGATGTAATTCATATCCGAGAACCCTAATATATCCGTTTCGTAGAATAAATTTAATGAGTGTGCGTCGTGCTAATCGTTAATGACTACGAATGACTAAGAAACTTTTATACCCTTCTGTTCTTTCACTAGGTCTTTTGTTTAACTGCAGAACTAATAAGTTATTTTATTTGACGAAATCAGAATTTTTTGTAAGGTGTTCTTTGAAAAAAAAATTGTTTGTAATACTCGTAAGAGGACCCGACTCTCTGTTTTGTAAATTATTTTATGTTGCATTTCTTATACAAAATATTATAATTGGAATTAAAATATGTAACATAACTGGGATTACAAAATTTAACACAAAATTGTAATTATTAGATTATACACATTTTTTGCTGCATTTCGCTTAAACATATTTCCTTAAACTTATCGCTGTGTACAAATACAGTTCTCATTCAATCATTTCAGTTCTCCCTTCGCGGTAAGGCAAAAATACATAAAAGCTCAAAACATCTTCATTAAAAATTGTAAACTACAGAAAAACCTAAAACACCAAATACGGTTAAAAACAGCTAAAGAAAAACCATTTTTACCGTTAAATTAGATTTTTATGCTCAAAAACAAGCAATTTGGTCAGCGGGCAAGAAAATTAAATTTTCGGTGCACAAAATTAAAAGTTAATTTTCAAAATTAAAACTTTTAATAAAAGTTAATTTTACGATCCCACTGTGAAAAAGGACATTGAAATGGGTGCACCGACTGAAATTCACTATTTTACTGACAGTTTCACATGTAAATAAATGGCAGCTTCGTTAGGCTTAGAGTAACCTAAACTTTTGAAAATTGTTGATAATTCTAAAACTATTGCATGCGGATTAACTAACGACATAAAAATTTTAATTGGAACGTAAGAACAACATAATTCAATCATTTTTAAAGCAAAAAATGCACAATTTACCAACCAAAAAAATAAAACAAAACAGAGTTCACCGAGCGAAGTAAGAGTATATATCTATCTATATTATATATAATATATATATATATATATATGTTTGGTGCGGCCGATTGCAACAAAAAAGTGAGGTTCGGAAATAGATCTTATAGACAAAATTTCAACGTTCTACGGCTAATCGTTTTTCAGTTTTGCGAGATAAATACTTGCGTTCGCACAAGACGTCATTGAAAAACTTAATCCATTTTAAATCCTTTTTACGATTCGTTTTGGAAAAAATAAATCTGTCCATACGTACACATTTTACGCAAAGAAAATCGTCTAAATGAATTCGAGAGCCGCAAAAATGGATAATTTTTGGAAATATGATACACAATTTTTTTCGATTACAATACTTACTTTACTACATATAAAGAAGTAAACAACAATACGATAGTTCAGATCTCGCGTTTTCTGATTTCCATCTTCAATAATTTTAATGTAGAGTCAACCTGCTGAAGCTATAGAACCGAACGTAGATATTTCGTGAGTGAAGACTAATTGAGATGTGAATGTATCCACTGTAAATGTAAATTTTGACGTCCAGATACCCGACAAATGTGTGTATACGAGCCAGTTTTCCTTAGAAAGCCCTCCATAAAGGCATCCCTCCTCTTAGGCAGATAGCCCTAGTGTGCTTTGCCATAATTAAAGACACAACACCACCTGACAAATGAGATTAAAAATTGAGATGCCAGCTCTGTTCCTTTTACTCGTTCAAATAGGTATGTGGTGTATAGAAGCAAGACTATCCAAAGCCTCAAAACTGTAAAACTGACAGAAATCTGCAAGAATGCTGTGGCCGCAACGATCGTATTTATGTCCTCCAACGGTAAAGCGAACGAGAAGATAGCGCCATCTGTCAGCCAAAATAGCCCAAAGTCAAAATTGAAAATTTAATCATAACTTTGGCTCTGCTAAATTTATTCGAAAAGCTTCTTAAGTTAGTGTATTGGATTTCTTGAAGCTTTTCACATTCACAAAGATTTACCTTGTTTAGTTAATGACTTTAAGTCCAATCCAAGCCTTCCTAGCGCTTTTAAAATTCTATTAACTTAATTTTCCAATTTCTTTACTATTTTTACCAACAGATGGCGCTATCTTCCCGTTGGCTTTACTGCCGTAGGACATAAATACGACCGTTGTGTCCACTGCTGCAAATTTCTTTGCTTCTGATAAAGAGGGACTCGTACCTGTTAGCTCTCGAAATCGATTGAGTTCTTGGCTGAATCGACACCAAACACAAAATTGTTGCTTTGCTAATTTTTTACATCGCTGCTATATTGGCCATAGGATGAGTAATGGCATCACGATTAAAGGCATTACGAATAATGGTTTCACTCGAATATTTTAAATGCTTAAAACAATTATCAATAATAGCATGATTATGGTACGATTTGAAATGTTAGCTTGTTGGTATAAGATGAACATTATTTTCAATACGGCATTTTTAAGGAGAAATATCACCTTTTGCTAATGCTCTGTTTATTTATTTTTTAAGTTCGATACCTTGGAGCGGAGCTTTTGAAATTATGGTCAGGGGAAAAAAAAAAAAAATTTGAACTTCTGCTGCACTGCAGTGTTGTTTGGCAAGACATTCTTTGTTGAAAATTAAGATGAAATCCTGATAACTTCTTTAGCAATGTTTACATAACCTGTTATAAGTGAAGGAAATCAGTGGAGCATACATTATTCACTTTGTGCAGAATGATACATAACTGAATACGGTTAATCTGGTCCCTGAGTGTAAACATATCGTAAAAAGAAAAAATAGTAAAATGAGTTATAACGTAAATTATGAATTCCTAATTTTTCAGGTTATTAGAGGGTTTGTTTTATACAAAATTTTATAATGGTTTTACATTGAGATGCTGTTTTATTATTAGAGTAGAAGTTTTAATTTTCATAAGCGTGTTTTTAATAAATTAAACCAGTGCTAGTCATGCTTAATTGAGCATAGCAACTGTAATTACCTAAAAAACACGTGCAGTCAGTGATTTATTTTATTTTATTTATTTTTTTTTTACTTCTTTAGTCCCTGAGCATTTCCTCGAGAGCTACGAATTTTACTCTTCATTTGTTATATTTTTTATTTTGATGTAAACAGATTTCTTTGTAACGAAGTTCTCCTTTCCTGCCAAACCCAGAGATGAAGTCCCGGTGGCAAACAATGCGTCACCATGGCAACCGTTCGTCTTTCATTTTCGCGAGCGGAAATATCTGTTGACTTTACAAAAAAAAAAAAAAAAAAGAAAGGAACTATTCGCAAATCGTTTGTTCTGCACGCAGTTTTCACGCAAAGAGAAATAATCCAATATTTGTTTAGTTATTTTATTTATCTTCTATAACTCTGGACGAAGTGAAAGTATTCTTGCAAAATACGGGTTCCAAGAAAAGATGAATCAGGCTTTGACTCCTTTTAAACCGAGGAAGCAGAATTCTTTCATTTTATAATTTCTTCTCGAATTTTCTCATGCTACTTTGTTGAAATAGTGGGAGTAAGGGATCTTAACAATAAGATTAATTCAATAGCTCAAAGTTATTTTTTTTCGGGCATTGAGGAGACGGCCCTAAATATTTATGAGAAAATGTTTTTATCATAGCTTTCATTATCATCTTTTTTTTGAACCTTATACAGTATATATTGCGTAGAGGAGAGCAATATGCTCCTTTATAAGGTGCCAATGAATCGCGAAGGAGCTAAAGAAGAGATTTTTTTTAATCATTAATACGTCTGTTATATCGTAAAACCTTTATTTCAGGCTTTGCACAAAGGATATTGCACCAAAAAAAAAAATTAACTTTACAAAATGTTCATTTTTACTTTAAAATAATAAAAAAAAAAAAACTTTAATATGATAAATTTCAATTCCATGATTAGATTAACTTTCAGTATTCATTTTCCAAATGTCTTATTTGAAATCTCATTATTAACTTCAGGGCCCACCAGCGGCCGAGCGGTAGCGTCGCTGAACACTGGTAGTTCGGTCCGAGGTTCGAATCCCGTGAACAGGCTGGTTGCATGGGTGTTTTCCCCATGTGTAACGTGTATACGAGCCAGTTTCCCTTAAAATGTCCTCCACGAAGGCATCCCTCCCTTAAGGCAGATAGCCCTTGAGTGCTTTGCCGTAATCTAATAAACCAAACCCTTAATAACTTCAAAATTACCTTTTTTTCGAAAAAAAAGTTAAAGTTATTCGAAAATTGGTTCAAACGCGTTCAGAAGTGTATTGATCTTCATGGAGAATATTTTGAAAAACAGTAAAACCAATTTCGATCATAAACATTTGTTGTTTTATTATTAGGCTAGAAATATAAATAGAAACCCTCGTATTAACGTTTTCTTTTTTAACGTTAACGTTTCTATACTACTGTTAACAAAATCATACACGCAGATCAAACGAAATTCAAAGCGTTTCGTAAATTATTTTCTAAGGTTTAAGTATTTAAAATGTTTCAGGTAATGAAAAACCTGAGATAAATTTATTTAGTAAATTCTGAATTTAATATTCTTTTAAATGTAAACGAGGGGGGGGGGGGGGGGGGGGGGGGGGGGGGGGGGTGGGGGGGGGGGGGGGGGGGGGG